AATTTTATTTTATTTTTCATAATATTACAAACTTTACTAGTAAAAATCATTGATTAAGCAATGTCATCAAGAAAAAAATCCCTATATAAAGACAATGTGATTTGTTTTTAATTTTAGAAAATGTATGCCACTGTACAATAATATAAATTTATTTAACACCATCAAACTATGCCCTTAAAATTATTAAGATGTCAAATTTCAGTATCTGTATGTATCGCAAGCTCAGTGATACACACCTATAATCAAGTGCTCAGGGAGAAGAAGCAAGATGGGCCTGTGTTGGAGACCAACCTGAGACATATCCAGGCCCCATTTTTAGACAGAGAGGGAAAAATGAACTTTGAACCCCATGGGGAAACCACTTGGGTTGGCACTAAGCCTAGAGAACAGTGAGAAACCTGAGTGCCCATCAAGATACTAAGGCAGTTCCGTTATTCATTGTGTATTCTAAAATTCAATGAGAAGACATTTTTAAAAATCCAGATAATATTTGCAAAAGGAAATAGTAACACTAGAAAAACCAGCTCTTGTGCATTAATGAAACATTGTGCAAAAATAAAGTAATTAAGACAGCATGGTAGGGTATGATAGGTTGGGTGCCTGTAGCACAAGTGTTTAATGGGTATCTGACATTTCTGTTACTTTCTACACCCCTGGAACATTCCTTCCTATACTTCTCTGATAAATTGTAGTTCTTTCTAGTCAGTCGATAAGCTGGGTGTCCACAGCATTTCTGGTTGTTTTTTTTTTTTTTTTTTTGCAGTTGGCACATTGCAGATGCTTCAGAAGCTCCCAGGCCATCCAGCCTGTTGGCTTATGAGTTAGTTCTCCATAAAAGAGCCTCAGCTATTGGGTCCAAACAATACAATGAGAGAGAAGTTGAGATCTTTCTAACCAAACTCATGGTTCGCAGGGGAAACTCATTAGCTTATTAAATTATGAGGCAGTTCTATATGCTCCACAGTTGGATGCACTAAAGTGCCTGATAAGCAAAGACATTATGAGTCTCAAAATAGTTTGAAGAATGAGTACTACCTTGCCACGAAGAAAGACTGGAAAAGCTTGGTTACTGGGGACAGGAGAGTGTGCTGTTGCATGCATTCTGGTATGGACAAGCAAAGAGGAAGCCCGAAAGTGTGTTCTTGGCATCTACTGGGACAGGAGCAAAGGGTGTGTGATGGAGAGTGGCAGAAACATCTGGCAAAGGAACCAGAGAGAAAGGAAGAGCCACACTGAGAGACTCGGCCCTTTGTCGCCAGATGAAAGCAAGGCATCTAAAGTTAATAAGCAAGAAGGACAAACGCAATGCAGATTTGAGCCTCAGGAGGATAAGCATGGAAAGCAAATGGAATTATATCTCTTAGAATCACTTTAAAGGAATTTTATAGGGGCCATAACTCAGTGTCTGTTACTGCCTTGCCACTAGGACCTGTAACAGTCTCCCTTCCCACTGCCGACATGTCTAAAGGTGTTTTGGACAAGACCCAAAGGGTTGTTGACAGTGATAAAGCATTTCTGAAAACAGCTCTCCCTGAGAATATTGCGAGCGTCTGAAATCTTGGCACCTAGGATGCGGAAGAAGGAGGTCCTCGAAAGTCTGAGCCTCTCCAGGGCTGGACAGTGAGACCTTGTCTCAAAACAGTTTTCTTTTTATGCTTGGATGTACACTGAGATCATCAAGGGTGCTTTGAGGAAGGCTGTGGGATGATCTTCAGCCCTTGAGACAGGGTAGAGCCTCGTATTGGACTTTCTTGAAGCTTGTGCAGGACTCGGGAACTGATAAGTTTGATGGTTGCTTCATTAAAACCAGACTCAGGGTCACTGCAGTTCTGGTTCTCATTTTGTCTCTGTCCTAGCAGTCTGAAGTGTGGCTTCTTGTCATAACTTGGATGTATGTTTAATCCAAGAATTGTTTTCTTCTTCATTTCAAATGTTCTTCTTAAATTTATGATACATATTCTAACCCATGCTGTCTTTGAAATGAGATGTCTCATGCAAAATGAATGATGCGAGAAATGGAAAGACTGTCTAGTGACTGGCTGGTCATCTCTTTGCCTCTTACTGTAATCTGCCTCCTCATATCATCCTGAACTACCTCATGCTTTTTGCATGGGACATTTGTCTGGTTCATGTACATATCTCTACATTTGTAGTGTGCATCCTCTAGCCTTTGAGTCTTAATCAATGGTATTTCCATAAGCATTTCCCTTATCCTATTGTGTCCCAGAAATAATGGCCACAATCATCCAGACTTTCAGTCTTTGTCTTGACATAATATTTTCCCCATTTCAGTCCCTCTTGGTTCCAGTGTTGTGTGTGGCAGAGAGATTTATGACGATTTGGCAAAAGACATAGTTTGCAAGTAATAGCCATTGCTCAAACAGGACTCCTTTACATTCTGCTGCATTCCCTCCCTCGTGTGGACCGTCTCTGTATACATCCTTCTTCCCCCTTCTTCACTTGGTTTCTTCGCCCTCATCCAATCCTCTCTGACCTCTTGTGTGAACCAACCTGTCTTAAAAGCAGCCCAGAGGTGATTGTGGCAGATGAAACAAAGGACAAGTCAAAGGTGAACATTGAAAGGGAGATGAGATGGGAACCCCGAGAATCTTAAGATTCGTAGGAATGGTGGATAGCAGCAGGAAACAGAGATCCTGGGATCTTGAGTTTCTTGATGGCTGTTTTGTGACTGCTAAGCTCAATTTCACAGGCATAGTTGGCAGTCACCAGACATTCTCTAAGTTTTTGAATTAGTGTATGGAAGGGTTAGTAAAGAACACAGTGTCAAGTATGTGACTTTTACCGTGATCCTAAATCAGTAACCATATGCCCAGTGACAGGCAGTTCCTTTCTGATCAGCAGTTCCATTCACCTGGGAAAACTTGCTTGAGTGTTTATTTGGAAAAAAAAAAATAGTGCTAGCTATTTTAGTTACTACATCTTCATTAGACAATAACATGACATATTTGTAGCCATGGTTATGCTGGATTATATTTTTCAAAAATAACCTCAATTTACATGCACACGCGTGCACCTGCCTCTGCCTCCCCAGCGTGCACTGCGTTAGCCTGCTGCCACTTTCTACACGGGCTCTAGCAGTCAGCCTCGGGTCCTCTTGCTTGTGAGACAAGATAGTGAGCAAGCTCTTTGCTGACTGAGCCGTCACCTCACCCAGCGATTCTGTTTTGATAGTTTGTTAACTGATGTGAATTTCAGGTGATGACTGGAACACCTACAGTCCATTGGAGAAGTGACAGCTACAGCAAAGGCTAAGTAGTTAAAGAGTGGTGTGACTGATTTCATTTAGGAGACCTGCGTAAGTCTAGGGGGACTGGGTCCTAGACCCAGTTCCAACAAGTTCTACAGCAACATGAAGCCCATTGTTTTTCAGTGGTTGTTATATCTCTTATAAAGAAGAACAACAAAAAAAATGTATTCATCTCCCCATGGTTTCTTTAACGGTATTCATAATATTATAAATTTTCAATATTAATTGTAAAAATAAAAAAAATATCTCCAAATACTGGCAATTCAGAGGTGATACAGCTTTGGCTTTAGCTTTACAAGGAGGTTGAGGAGATGGCTCCTCATTGGTAACAGTGAAGAGCATGCATGAGGACTCAGATTCTGATCCCCAGGTGAATGGGTGGTGTCTGCAATCCCACCACTGGGGCAGCAGAGATGAGAGGCTCTCTGCTGCTCACTCACCAGCTGGGCAAGCCAATTGGTGTCTCCGGTTCAGTGAGAGAGGCTGCCCCCAAAAATAACGTGAAACACAACTGAGCAAGACACCTGACCCTGGCCTCTGGCCTATGCATGCATGGACATCAGCTGTGTGT